CACGTTTATATATATAGTTCGTGGCTTCCCAATAAATATAAATACATTTACAAAAGCTGACGATGAATTCCATGGCCTAAATGGAACTTTAATGAATGACATCCATTTTGGTGTTCCTTTTTTTTTTTGCAACAGCTTTACGGCCCAGGCAGGACGCGAACAAAAGGACAAATGAAAGTCAGAGGCGCTGAGCCGAGAAAACAATGAAAATTGAAATCCAATAAGAAAGCAGCAATAAATCAAATTTAAATTTAATTAAAAGTCGCCACGCCTCAGCATGGCGCCCGCCGCAAGCGTCACAGTTGAGGCGACAATCGGGAACAAAGCGGGACGAACATCTATCCCCTTCTCCTCCTCCTGTTGACTATGCACCTGGCGCACCTGGCCGTGCGTTTAGTGGGCGTGTCAGCCTCAATTATGGGAAACACAGGGTGCAACATAATTTCACTTGTAAATATTTAAAAAAGCTGGCAGAACGAGGAAACGTTGGCCAGGCCGCGGGCAAACTCATTTGTTTGCAAAAACAAATCGCAGAGACTCACACACACACACACAGACACACACACACGCGCGCGAGACACTTAAGCAGCGTAATGTATACATGTAAATGTAAATATGTAGATGTGTTTACAGAGCAGCAGCAGTAGGAGATGCTCTGGGAAAAGAAAATAACTTGAATAATGTGAGCAAACACTCGCATGCTGTTGAGTGCTCGTCTGCCTGTGTGTGTGTGTGTGCGTGTGTGTGTGTGTGTGTGTGTGTGTGTGGTGCGTTAGGTGTGTATGTAATTACAAAGCACACACAACATACAAAACATGAAAATGTCTGCATAAATATTTATTGTGTGTTCGATTGTATTGCCGTCCACAGGGCGTATGCGTGATTTTTGCTTTGATTCACTCACCGACCACCGCATAAATCACAAAGCAGAGCCATGGAAGCCAGCTTAAATATATATACAAAAAATATATGTATATATATAGAGATATATATCTACGCAGTTGTGGTTGAAAGTCCTGCGGTCAGGCTGCATTGTAATTATTATAATTTTTCCAAATTATTATTTCTTATGTAATTTACTGCGCAACATGATGCAATTTAATTCAATTTGGGCAACAAATGCATTTGATTAGTTTTTGACAAATCAAATTGCATTATTATTTTGAGTTAAGTTAACCCCAAAATGTTTTCATGAAAATGCCATCAAATAAAATTAAATCACATTAAAACTGACAAAGTTCGACTAACAATTACACAAATTTAAGAATTGTTTTCAGTAAAAGTTAATGCTGCAACAAATGTTCTCTTATGCAACAAAACTTCTATAAGCTCTTTATTTTCTAATCTATCTATGTTGTATTTATGAAAATAATAAATGAATTCTATCAGGAATTACTACTGTCATTGAAGGCCATCAGCTTTGAGAGTGAGATAGGCAAGTTTTAACATTTTACATGGCAAAATTGTAAATTTTTATATAAGCAAAGAAAATGGTTGATTTTCGGTATTTTTGAAATCAGACGAAATCACTTTCGCCTTTATAACCTAGGACAACCCACTTTTTTACATTCGATTGAAGAGGAGTATCAACGGAAGAGCGTCAAAAAATTTAAATATCATCGAGAGTTAGGTCATCTCAGAGTATGTCAAATCTGTCTAACATTTATAAGCGCAATAGTTCTGCCTATTTTCCGGTTTATTTTCATATTAAAGCATAGTCAAGCACAAACACAAACAAGTAGAGATCAGATCGTTGTGGAACATCAACTAATTATATTTGTTAAAAGTCACCAAAAAGTACCTTGCCAATATTCTTATAGTTGCAATCACTAATTTTCAACTATGTAAATATTGCACTGGAACCTTACTTACTCTCGGACAGTTTTAGGAAAACATAAGCTTTACATAGATTCGGGTCTTTCTTCTAAAATTGATTTAATGAATTAAAGACGTGCTCTGACACATTGATAATGGGTATAAGGTTGTTGTGCGGGGGAGGGAGGCTTCTCCGACCTCACAAAGTCTAGACATTCTTGATCAGGATGACGAGATGATAAGTCGATCTAGTCTTGTCCATCCGTCCGTTCGAGCGCAATAATCGTGGAAACTAAGTATAAAAGCTAGTAAATTGAAACATTAAATATAACACCTTTTATATCTCTTACATCGATATAATTGGATTAGTAGAATGGTTTTATAAGCTTTACTTTCAATTTACAAGAGCTTGATAGATGTATTCTCGTACAAACATATAGAGTAGAATACTTGAACACATTTGGTTGCCCAGAAAGTGTCATAATGAACGCAATCAAACACTGATGCTATTCAAGAATAGAAGGCACAGAAGGAAGATAGAATGTTGGTAACGTCAACTCAGCACTGAATTTAGGATATCTGCCAGTCAGGCACTCCCTAATAGCGCACTCTCTGGTTATACCCTTGAAGAGGCTATTCAAATTTGTTCATGGAATGTGTAACGCCTATAAGAGGACATCAGAAGAGCCCAGAAAGTATATACATATATTCATTATCAGCATCAACAGGCGAGATTAAAGACAAAATTTAATTCTTGCTTGAAAACCTCTTCGGTTTATTAATATATCTTGACCTTACTCGACATTTACTATTTGAACTATGCTGGTTATATGTGCCAAATCTTATCGAGATCGCACTACATTATTATATAGCTTCCTTATTCTCACACCTGCAAGTGCTTACAAGGGTATTAAGTCTTCGGCGTGCAGTAGATATCCCTATTCGTTTTTTGTACATTTTCTTTGGGCGCTCCACTAAAATATTCAAGAGTATTCTTTAAGAATACCTATGCTTCTTAAAGTTTTGAAACCTACTTCCTGTTTGTCATTAAATATTTATCGCTTTGCCCATTTCTTGTCGCTTGTTGAGCAGCTCGCATGAATTCGAGTTGAATATGCTTAGTAAAATAAAATTGAATGCCAAGGCACTTTGCTTTATGAAGGCATAAACTTTATGCGCAAATTCATGTGACTCTTCGCAAGACAATGGAAAATTAAATAAAGGCCGGCGGAAAACGAGTAAGACGGCAAAATGACAGAAACAGGTAAAGAAACAGATGATGTATAAAAATGTCACCAGCGACAAGGGAAAGTTGTAAGTGTCAGTTCAAACAGCAGTTCCTGGAGGTGGGTGGACTGATGGGCGGACTGATGGGTGGGAGGATTGGTGGGTGGGTGGCTTCACCTGGCACACGGTGTCAAAACATAAAAAAAGCATTTGGCGGCACCATTCGGCGCTGTTTTTGACACCTGCGCTCACAAGTTGCCCCCTCGAAGACGGGAAATGAGAAAATAAGCAGCAGTCGAGGGAGCGGGTGCGGAAGGGGATGGGGGGGGGGGGTTCTGATAGCTGTGGTGATAAAAGCCAACTTGGCCAGCATTTTAAAGGCAAGACACCCAAAAGTCGCCTTTAACTTTTAACGTTTGCGCAGCGAATCGAATGAAGCGTCTCCAAATTGCCCGTCTAATTGGCATGCAGAGGTCGTCTGCAGGTCACCGAGTGCCACGACGCGTCGTCGAGTTTACAATAATTGCACTTGCTGCGGTATTTTGTTTTTGTCTGAATTCTCGTTATGGATTGCTTACTAACCAAAAGGGCGAGCCGTCCTTTTCAACTGCTCTTGCCGAAAGGGCATAACAAGAGTGCTCTGGTCGCGGCTATCCGACTGGCAAATGCCCTGTACCTGTCGCCGAGCTGTCGCAGCAACAGTCAAAAATACTCTTCAGTTTTCTTATAACTCTAAGAGACTTTGGTAGTTAATCGTATGTAAAAAAGTAGTTATCTCCATCTCCCCTGGAATCGATATTAATCGATTTCTCTTTTTTGCTCCAATCTCGTCGCAACGTACTTCATCCCAGCCCAAGTCAACCAAGATACAAAAACGAATACTTATACTAAAGACTAAGACTACATACTAGCTGAATAGTTAGGGATGGAAGATTTATGACGAGGAAACTAAGACTCCGCATAGAATACCCTGTAATGCTTATGGTAATCATCGCAGATTACGTGCAACGGTTCATGCTAAGCATAGTTAGTTGGACTAAATTTAAGAAATAAAGGAACTGATAGGTTTGTTTGGATAGCCAACCCAAAGGAGTCGATTTCAAGCACAAACTCTTTGAGTATTTTTTTTTTCGGAAGCTGGGTCTCAGTATAGTAGATCCGCAGTTTAAGAATATTGTATTTATTGAATTCAAACTCCACTTTCTTCATTTTTGAAAATGCATTTGAACACATTTGAAAATTGAATAGGCCAAGAGTTAGTTTGATCCCTAAAATATGCTTTAAAGTAATTCGCTTTTTATGCTCCTTAATGTTGCTGAAATCGAAAACCATATGACCGTATTTCATTTTAAACTTGCAATGCATATTCATGACAGAAAAGGGGTCAAGAATATATAATATGTTAAGTCCATTGAGGCATGACATATTTTGCCTGGCATTGGAATGTGAACGTGTAATCCGCAGTCGGTTGCACCCGAGAGCAACATGCTAACTTGTTTTTGTTGAACTGTTCCTAAAGAACAGTAAAGGGAAAATATGCAAATTAAAAATATGCCCAAATCGTATCGTTCATGTGACACAATCGCCCTCGCGAGCTTTGTTGTTAGCACTTGTTCCCTCTGCCCGCCCCTTTGCCAGTGAGTGCAATCTTCTTTTACTGAGACAACAAAAAGGGATTGTTTTGACCTGTCTAATCTACGCGAAGCCAACTGCGCGCAGCACGTGCTGCCAGCAATGGGGAACAGCTGTTGGCACGTAAACAAACGCCATATGATGGAGAGAGTCGAAGAGCGGCAAGTTTTCGCTCGCGCTCTGGCAGAGCTTTCACGCTCTCAGATAACCTGAACCGTTTCGCTCAGCACAGTGCGAAACTTCACTTTCATTTACAGTTACAGCTACGGCTACAGCTACAGCTACGGCCGTGATAGCTTTCGATGTCGATGTCAGTTTGCCGTGGCAAGCCAAAGCTTAAGGTCGTCGTGTTCGCCATTTACGCTTGTCACAAAGCCAGCTGAGTGGCCCTCGCAATTATTGGAGCTTCGTGCAGGTCGCGACGCGCGCGCTCAGTTCTTGTGCAAACGGCGGCAGGACAACATTGTCCACTCCTCCGCACCCGGCTGCCGTCGTGTAGAACGTTTTGTAAGACGCCACCGTCGTCGCATTGTGTAATAATTTGGCTCGCCATCTTAAATATTAAATTTAATAATAATAATAATATGGTTTAAGGAAAGCCGGAACTGAATGGCTCTTATCAGGACTCGTGCCTGGTCCTTGCCAACTAAAAATAAACGAACGCGTACGTGCCACGTCCATCAATCGCCAACAGGAAATCCGCCCGCACTCCCGATTTGGGTTTCACTCGACTGGATTTGTTTTATGTTCTTGCCTTTGCCATATGCACACCCGCCCCGGTTTTTACTGCCGCCTCCACGCTCCACGTGGCGCTTGCGGACCCTTTTCTGTCGCCGCATTTCGTGGGTCTCTTCGACTTGGGCTCTTTTGAAATATTGAGCAGCCGGCTTTGAGTCCTATTTCTTGTTCTACTGTCGACCAGGCACAGGCTAACCTGTTTGTCTAAATCTGGCAGCAAGATTAATAGAACACACATTTAGATGGACTATTTGATCAGTAGTTAAGGCTGTTAACAGTGCAGTTGGGTGTCAAACAAAAAGGGTTTACATGTGACGAAAAACTAAACAAATTCGGAAATAACTGAAACTAAATTCCCGTTGTTAAATGACAATAATAAACAGTGTAAAGTGTGTGAATTTGATTGAAACTTTTAAAAAGCATAAATATTTGTGATTTAAATTGATCAAATTTAAATTAAAACAGAGTTTTTTTTTTATGTGCAAACTAAATTCTAGGCTTAAAAATACAAATCAAAAATATATTTGGAAATCCTCTTTGAAGAGATATTAATAAATCTAAAATGGGTATATTGGTTTGGTGCGAATGTATGTACTAGGCAAAAGGCGGCATGTGCTACTCCATAAAACATATCTCTTCTTGATCAGGACTCGTCGATCTCGGCAACTACGAGAGCTATCCGCAATATGTGTTTATCCCTTTCTGTCGATATCGGGTCCCATTTTTAAAATATCGATAAAATTTGGTATGTGGGCTAGAAATAAATGACTTTTTAGATATCTCCGCCTATTCCGCACAAAAATAAAAAAAAAACAAAATGTTAGGTGTAGAAACTTGTGATTTGAATGCCATATTTATGCTCTTAATATTTTGGCTATATTTAATGAATTGAAGAATTCAAAGCCTCGTGCTAGACACCCAAATATTATATTGACTGAGAAGTACAGGGGATTCAATAGTCGAGCATGCTCGACCACAGCATTCTAACTTGTTCTTAGTACTTAGTTATTATGGCTTATTAATTTCTATCGTTGATATGCGTGTAGTTGGAGGCAAGTTTTATTATGGACTTAATAAAATATATATTTTTAAAGAATTAGCTTAATTAAAAAACACTTGCAAAGATATTGACAGTAGCAGAAATAGGACGGTTCTCTAATTAGTTAACTCCATTCCACCTAGCCGTTATTTACAATTAATTAACTTGGCCTTAGAATATTCTTTCGTTTGAATAAGTGTCTTTTCACATTTTTGGCAGATGTTGTAAATAAATCCACTTGTGTGGTACATAAAATAAACCATTTCATTGCGGACCATCCGTCGACTTTCTTGAGTGTCTCTCGAGGCACAACAAAAAAATGACAACCATTTCTCAGCTGGCTGCGGCCGGAACTTGAGCCCGCCGCATCGTTCTTCATTAGAGCGCCGACATGTCAAGGACTTTTGGCCGCTTCTTGATATTTTCAGAACTGCATTTCCATAAAAAACGAGAAAGAAGTGCTATCTTCGGCACGCCGAAGATTTAATACCCTTGCAGACCCAACCTTTTCAAAATGCTCATGGTGCTTTGCCCGTATCTAAGAATCACAGGGAGAATAGTTAAAGCCGAATATGTTTAAGATATCTTGAAAAACAAAAAAGTTCTCCCTACAACAACTTAATTTTCGACCGATCGTTCCTATGGCAGCTATATGATATAGTAATCCGATGTTAATATGATTTTGCATATATATAAGGAGCATAGTAACACTAATAAATGCCGAGTTTGGTCAAAATATCTTGAAAAACAAAAAAGTTTTCCATACAACAACTTAATTTTCGACCGATCATTCCTATGGCAGCTATATGATATAGTACTCCCATGTTAATAGGATTTTGCATAAATATAAGCAGCATAGTAACACTAATAAATGCCGAGTTTGGTCAAAATATCTTGAAAAACAAAAAAGTTTTCCATACAACAACTTAATTTTCGACCGATCATTCCTATGGCAGCTATATGATATAGTACTCCGATGTTAATAGGATTTTGCATAAATATAAGCAGCATAGTAAAACTAATAAATGCCGAGTTTGATCAAGATATCTAGATAAACAAAAATGTTTTTCATACAAGAACCTACTTTTCGACCGATCATTCCTATGGCAGCTATATGATATAGTACTCAGATGTTAATAGGATTTTGCATATATATAAGGAGCATAGTTACACTAATAAATTCCGAGTTTGATCAAAATATCTTGAAAAACAAAAAAGTTTTCCATACAAGAATCTACTTTTCGACCGATCGTTCCTATGGCAGCTTTATGATATAGTACTCAGATGTTAATAGGGTTTTTCATAAATATAAGCAGCATAGTAAAACTAATAAATGCCGAGTTTGATCAAAATATCTTGAAAAACAAAAAAGTTTTCCATACAAGAACCTACTTTTCGACCGATCGTTCCTATGGCAGCTATATGATATAGTGGTACGATCCGACTGGTTTTGACGGATGAACTGCGTGCAACAGAAAGAGACACTTCTGCAAAGTTTCATAAAGATAGCTTTTAAACTGAGAGACAAGTTCGGACTAGTAGTTGGACAGATACTGATCATGGATATATATACTTTATAGGGTCGGAGATGTCTGCTTCTATGCGTTACACATTTCACGACAAAATTATAATACCCTCTGCAAGGGTATACAAATAAACAGAAATCCATACGAAAGCAGAAAAAAACTGCAACTCCAAGCAAAAAGCGACCCAAAAATGTGTAACACCGGGCAACGAAACGGTGCCTGAAAAATTGCAGCAATTAGTGTGCCTGGAGGTCAACCAACCAGCCAGAAAGACGGCCAGACGGCCAGCCAGCCAGAAAGACGGCCAACGAATCCAGCTAAACCAATTTCCAAGAAATATGTGACACCCATTTTTTGTGGCTTTTTTGTTCGGTTCGCATTCGTTGTGACAAGGTCTAAATGTTTTTTTAAGGGCATGAATCACATTTTTTGCATACGAAAATAAAAAGTCTTTAAGCGGGCGACTCCATTTACGGATTAAATTTAATTCTCCCAAATGTCAGCTTTAATTGTAGCATATCTGATTTGCGAGTTGGTGGACAGGGCATGTTATAGTCGAACTATGGCTAGCCAGTTGCAATATAAATTGCTGTTAAATTAATAACAAATGTTGCATAACAAATAATGCGGGGGATTATTGAATAAACTATTTGCATATTTCATGTTTATTACAATGCGTTCCTTTTTTTCTGTACATACAATATATATTTAGCAATATCCATGGCCTTTTATTACGCATATAAATTGGAATAAATATTAACAATGAAACAATAAATGAATTGACTGACCGAGAGAGAGAGAGAGAGAGAGATAGCGAGAAAATAAATAAATAAATTATCATAGTTGGAGAAAAAAGAAAGGAAAAAGAAGTGTAAAAAGTGTCGTGAGAAAGTGCGAAATGAGCCACAGCAAACGCGCGTGGAATCAAAAGCAGCAACAGAAACCGAAACCGAAACAGAAACAGAATCAACAAGCGAATCACAGTTCGCATCTGATTCACAGCCGAGCCACAGGATCAACAGTCACCAGGCCGATGAGGCAGAACAATAGAGCCGGAGCCGGTGCCGGAGCCGGAGCCGGAGCAGCTTACAGCTGCGGATTTGGATTGTGGGCGCCGTCGCTGCTGCTGCTGCTGTTGCTGCTGCTGCAGCTGCTGGCCGCGACGCAGTCGACGCCGTCGCCCTCGTCCATGCAGACGCCACAGAAGCGAGGTAAGCACTTCTTTTTCTTCTTCTTCTGCTTCTTGTTATTTTTTTTATCCTGTTGCCGGCGGGCAGCATCGCAATGTCGCAGCGCTGGCCTCGTGCCTCGCCATTGTGGTTGGGGGAAATGGCAAATAAATGTCAAATAACAGCGAGCTCCCACTCGCACACATGTTTGCCTATATTGGCCATTGTTGTCTGCTCTGTGTGTGTGCTGTGTGTGTGTGTGTGTGTGGCGGGTAAATAGGCAAAAAGACGCCAGCACAAAAGCGCACCACGTTGCGTATACGCGCTGTTGCCGCTTGTCGCTGTTTGTCGTTGCCAGGCCAGCTCCGAACTGCCGCTGACATCTTGAGTTTGCCTTTGATATCAACTGTGTGTGTGTGTGTGTGTGGGCGGAGGGTGGGCGGGTGTTGGCATTTTATTAACATTGCATTGCTTCCAACTCGCTGACATAATAGAAAATTGAATGGCTGCGCAAGGGAGAAGGGAGTCCGTGACACGGGCACAGCAAGCAATGCAATTAGGCGAACAGCATTGAAGGATGCTGAACATAATTAAGGCCAGTCAAGTAAATTGCATAGCATTAGATAATCGCAAAAATTGAAGAGAGAGAGAGAGTCAGGTCAAGTCAAGTAAAGCAGAAAACTAAATCATCTATAAATCGTATTTAAATGTACCTTTAAGAACAACTTAATATTGGATCGCAGCTGACAATTTTCCAATGAAAATCTCAACTATTTCTAAAGATCAAGAGGCTTCTTTGAGAGTGCGAGGGCAGCTTGGCTGTTATTTAGTTATCAAGTCTCTAGTTAACTGGCTTGGAATGTCCTTTCTTTTGCCTGGCAGTTTTTTATTTCACGACTTTTTTCGCAACATTGGAATTTCCTATTTAGGAATATGCGAATGAAGCGGCATCAAATTGCTTAAATCGCCAGAATCTCGAGTGCTATGCAAGTTCGTGATTGAAGTGACACCTCACGGCTGTAGCTGCAGGCGCCTCGAGTGTCCTGCCAAACTGCGTGAGGTCCTGTGCCCGTCCTTTGTCTAGTGGACTTTATGAGCCGAGCTGGCAACTGGAAGCTGGCGCCTGGAGATAGTCGCCCAGCTTGCTGTGGATTGCCACTTGTTATCCAAGCACAGCCGCAACTGGATTCGAGAACTTTTGCTTTCATTCGACGCTGGGGAGCAATATTGTGTCCTGGCTCGTGGCCTTTTTGTGTGCCTGGCAAACTTGCAGCTGCTTAGCTGCTCATCTTTGCGCTGAGCACCAGCAGTTGATGGAGTCTATGGCCGAGTGCTGCCAATCCTGCAACATGCTTCATTTTATTATGCAACAAAAGTAGGAAAGAAACTCCAAAAAACTTACTCTCTCTTATATTATGGCGAAACAAAAAACTTGACGCGACATTGTCGTAAATAAGAGGCAAAAACTTTTCTTTCCATCTATTTTCGTGCCTTTCACTTCCATCCCCTGTCTATAGTCCTGTTTGTTCTCTGGTCTCAGAGACAATGCCAAAAAAAAGAAGATAGAAACTTGTGCATGAATATGATAAGTTTGTTGTTGCTACTCGTGTTGTTATTGTTTCGGGGAGGGCGCCATAAATTTGTGCTAATCCAATGTGGGCACAGTTTATAGGTGAAGCGAACTTTATGGATACTTGAGCGCCAAGTTCTTGATACTTTATCCTGTTCCTCATATGCATGAATGTCTCCAAGCTTGTGTGATATATGTGTGTGTGCGTGTGTGTGTGTGTGTGTGTGTGTGTGGTGTCGCTTGAAAGTTTTATGGCCTGTGAAGCATGAAATGTGCAACAAATTGTGGCTCAAAGATTAACAGAGAGAGAGAGAGAGAGAGAGAGAGAGAAGAGAGAGGGGGAGAAAGAATATATGGTTCATTGATGGGTTTAATATGGGCCAAGTCAATTGACTTGTCGCAAAGTTTTTGCTTATCTGCAGTGCCAATAAATTGGTGGCAAATCAAGAAATTAATTTGAAGTATCAGATGGGCTTAAACAATGTCCGAGCTCTATAGTGTAAGCAGACCAAGTCAACTATTGCTGTCCTCTTAATAAGTAGTATATAATAATATACAATAATAAGTAAACATAATATACCGACGGATAGTGTATTGTAGGATATATTAAACACTTGACAAGCTATGAAATGGCAATTTAAGCTGAATGAGCGTAAAATAAATATATGCTGAGGTTAATCATATTTCAAATATATGCTCTTAAAGGATTGTCTTGTAATCAAATGGAGCAAATCGACTTATTTGCTTTGTCCGAGTCAAAGGACAATTATTTATTGAGAACTTAAACAACACGCTTAACCTCGAAGAAACGCTTCAGATAGTAAATCTCCAGAATGGTCAGGGCCAGCAGCAGCGAGGGTCCGAAGATGGACCAGGCTATGATGCGAAAATGAACATTGTCGCTGATCTCCAAATGTCCTTTATAGCGCACGTGCATGTACTCCTGTTCGTGCTTGATGGCCAGCAGCTGGCTGGAGAGTGCGTTGATGTTTTCCTGCAGGACCGACTGCTCGACAATGTCGTCGGCGCGCTTGTGGGGATCGATGTAGTAGTTGAGATCCTTGGCGACTATGAAATGGAACATCAGCACCTTGGGTGTCAGCGTGGACTGTGTGTTGTCGAAGCAGAGCGTGTACTGGCCATCCTTGATGGCCGCAAAGGTATATCTGCCATTGGTTTCCGCTTCCGCATAGTATAGCCTGTCATCGTTGGGTGCCGAAATCTCCACCCCAATATCCTTGAAGCCACCCTCCATTACCTCAAAGTTCACCGTGATCTTGTCCTTCTCGTGTGCGCGGTCAAAGAAACAGACCGTCTCATGGGCATCGACCGTGATCATGAAACCGCGAGCCGCTTCAAAGAGCAATAAAAGACACATAAAAGTTGGCAACATTTTGAAAAATGGTTTGGAATTTTTTTCGTATATCACAATGACAAGATTTTTCAAGATTGATCGGATTAAATGAATTCTTAACTGAAGTTGATAGCTTTAAAATGTTTGACAGTTTAAAATTTTATTATATTACATCGCAGAAAAATACCCGTCGTTGCTCGGATCAAATGAATAATGCTGAAAATGCAAATGCTTGTGATATTTGCGCTAACTTCAGGCAGATACTGTATAACAATATTCTTAAGATATCTTCACATATCTGCAAAAACGTACTCAATTTTATTATATTACTTTTATGCGAACAATCTGTGGGATGTAAATCTTTCATAAGACACATGTCTACAAGGGTACCTAAAATTCGGCGTGCCGAAAATGTCTGTATTTTCTGTATTTTACCCGAAACAATAACGCATTCGAGCCCTGATCCTTGTTGTTCTGAACATATCCTTCTACCAAAAACAGAACAAATAGTTAATCAGACCCTTACATACCGTCGTTCATGCTCGCATTCGATGCAGGGTTGACATTATTTTCGTATCGATAGCTCCCTGAAATCGCAGCACAATGGCAAATTAACAAGCCGACGATGCTGGGCTCATTCGCTGGGACCTCAGCAGTTCGAGGGGTTATTTGGGCGCATTGGGTGCTCTTCATCTCATTTATTTGGGAATTGAATAATGCACATCTATGTTTGGCTGCACTGCTGAGGAGAACATTTTGCTATTGGACTTCAATTAGGTACATCAAATAATTACAAAATAAATAATTGATATCTCTGCTAATTTACGCAAACTGCAAATGTGAACTTTTGACCCTCCCACAGCTGGCCAAGCAAATACGATTCAAATCAAATTAAGATGATAAAAGCAAATGGCAAATTGGCAGCTGTCCCTGCAACGCATTTCCCACATCACATCTCATAGCATCCCATCACACTCCACACCCCACTCTCTGCCCCCCCGTCCCTTTGTACATCGATTCTTTCAATCTGCTTGCTCTGCTGTGTTGTGGGTAATGCATATTTTATGTTATCGATTCCTTGGCCGGGGCGCGGCCATCAATTGTCAAAATGTCATCCATTTTTAATGCCATCGGGGCCAACATTTTGAAGTTCTCTCTAAAAAGCGACCGGTTTTAATTCCTTCCTACCCCCGCAGCGCTCGCAAAAAGCAAACTGGGCTGAATTTTAATTGCAAAACAAATGGCAAACAAATTGCAATTTATAACTTTCTGAACAACAACAGCAAATAAAAAAAGGAACAACAACAATAAATGTGGCAAATAAATTCCAATTGTTTTAGTTTTGGCATAAAAATATATACAAAAATATAAAAATATTTTGTTGGGTCAAGTTTTAATGCCCGGCTCTTAATTCAATTAAATGCAAGTGTGAAATTATTATTTGACGTACTTTCCGCAACTATTTTATAAATCTTAATTAAATTTACAATTAATTTGTGTGCTTAAAATAAGATTACATTTTATTTGGGTTGCAACGCTGCTTGTTAAATATATTTAATTTTATTTATATTAATTATAAATAATAACATATTTTGCAGAGGTCACTAGATGAGTTGCCTAAGTGACCCAGCTATTCTAGAGGTTCTCTCTTAGATGAGAGCCTATCTTTAACTATATGTTAAACTCATAATCAAGGCACAAACAGGCAGAAGGAAGCATCTACGACCCCACAAAGCATATATATTCTTGATCAGCATCAATAGCCGAGTCGATCTAGTATGTATGAACGCAAGGATCTTAGACTCAGAGACTTTAGCTGTAGGTCCTCTTAGTCCCCGCGCAGATCGAGTTTGTTTCCGATATTCGATAACTTGCCCCGTTTCCAAGTAATCGATCAAAAATCGAAATCGAAATCATATTTTTGAGCAATTTTGGCAAATAACATTAGCTAGAGTCACCAAACTTGACAAGTTGCTTCTAGAATAGTATATAGTATATAGTATATATAAGTATCTTTCATTTTACACCTATCGCCTGCCTGTTGGAAGAAGAGAGTTCAGGGTATCCCCTAGTCGGGAGCTCCCGACTAGAACCTCTTACTTGTTGATATCTGTGAAG